CGGGGTCCCCTGCCCCAGCGAGCGCAGCGCTTTAGTTCTCTGACCGGTGGGCAGCGCTTTAAATAATTCTGTGCTGCGTGTTGGCACTCGCCTTTCAAAGCGTTCTTGCCGTCCCTGGCTTACTTCGGTTACTGCGGTGAGCTGCCTCGGCCCAGGCTGGAAGTCGTACCGCCGGGCGTAGGAGCACGGTACACGGGAGAAGTAACTGGTGTTTTGATTGGAAGTGCTTTTGTTTCTTTGTGCTTGATGGTCTCGGCTCCAGTGTTTGGCTTGCATCCCTTTGGAATGTTAAAATGGGACGTGAAAATAGGTCCGGCTTTTGGTGCAATACATGCTGCCACCACTGAAAAATTATTACCAAATATTTAGTAAATACGAGTTTTTCGTACAAACAGCATGGTGAAATAGTTAAAACCAAATAAAAGGGTTGGGGTTTTAAATCTTAGTATAACTTTTCTGCCCTGTGAACTAGAAATACTGTGGGTTTTGTTACTGGTGGTGTGGTACGCGAGTATACATTGAACGATTACGAGGAGTAGGGAGCAGAGCTTTAAAACATTTTGCTTTTGTCAGATTTGTAATACTAAAAATACAGTCCTGCTACTTTGTTAGCTGTTGACTCTGGACAGTGGGCTACTTAAAAGTAGTTTCTAAAGCATCTCTAAAAATGCCCTACTGAAAATTATAGTGTGTCATAGTATTGAGGACACAGTGAAATCTGAATATTGATTTGGTCATTTGGAGTAAATCTTAAATATTGAATGTTTGCAAGAACACTGTCTTGTCTGGTTAATACTGTGGTTTCGTTCCAAGTGAATCAAAGTAGCACTTGTTTAAATTGCTATAATGCAGAATTGGTACTGAGTGAAAGAAAAAGTTCTGTTCTTGTTTCGTTCAAAATACACTGCATCAATTTAGATGTAATTGAATTCTCGCTTATTTAGAGAACTAGAACTGCAGTATTTTTAAAGGCTATTGAACAGTGGACTTCTGGAATCGGTGAGGGAAAAGTCTTTTTGTTGAAATTGATTTTTTTTTTTTGTCTGTCTCTCTTCTGTGCATGTTAATCAAGTCTGTGTATATGAAGAGATGTTCCTGTACTTTCTGTTTCTGAAGCATTGATAACTTCAGATGAACCAGTTTCTGCTTCATTTTCCACACAGTATCATTTCGAGTGAGAAACTAGCATGTTGCTCCATTAAATAAATTGAAATAGGATATATGCTCAAAATTAAAATTCAGTGCTCCAGTTGTAGTACAGGAGAACTCATTTTGAATAAATATGTAGCAGTTTAATACCAAAATGGTTGACTGTTCTGCGCTTGACCATTCTTCTGTGATTCAGTTCCAAATGTACATATGAAGGTCGTTTTCTTTATTAAGGTATAATAGCAAAGGATAAAGAATGACAGGCAACTTGAAGCCTCATCACAGTCGGCAATTCCTGAAGATATCCTAAGTGTAAGAAACAGATGCAGAGAAGTAGGTAAGAACAGGAACCGGCGAGGTTATTTAGCTCTTGTGCTATCCAGTGCCCAGGGACAGTTTAAAAAAATACCTGATAGGCCAAGTGCCTTGAGCTGATGCTACATTGACAGCAGCAGACCTTCAGACAGGAGAGTGATTTTTTCCTATGTAAAAAACCAGCCACCTTCCGTCTTTCTTCCCTACAAGTCACTACAAGCCAAACGCTGTGGGAAGGGCAGAATTCTGGGGTTCTTTTTTCCCCTCCTGTCCCCCCGGTAATTGAGTTACAACTTAGGGAGCTTGATGGAAGAATCTAAGTATTTAATTACAGAAGAGCATGTACTCTTTTGAAGTAATACTGTAGCTGCTGAGTTTTCAACCTGGGCATGGGGGGAAATTTGTGATAGTGATTTTAGAGTAATCTGTACCGAGTGGCACAATTTATGAGATCATCTGTCATTTGAGGCAGGACTCAAATAATAGTCTTTGGCTGGTTTGGTTAGAAGCTGGGTTTAGTTGAATTTACCAATGGTTTGTGCTTCTTTGTGTTTAAAGAGCTAAGCTTTTACTTACAGAGACTTCTTAAGACTGTAGGTAACACTTCTATCGACATTTAGGAGCTGGCTTCTTAAATATGTATGTTTCTGGGATTTTGTTGTTGTTGCTTTTTTTTCCAGAGAAATACAAAAGTGGAAAAAAATTGTCTTGCGTCCGATAGTTTACTGGGAATCCAGTGGGCACGGTTGACTGAACCGACAAGAAATGGTTTCATTCCACCTTGGCCTAGTGAAAGCTTGACATTTTTCTTATGAAGAACCTGAAATCATTTTGGGAGATAGGTCTTGTAGGAAGTCCACTGCTTCAAAATCTTAAAATTGTGTGGAAGAAGTAGACATGACTTCTCCTAGCAAGCATCGTGAGACTCTTACACGGGGTCAAAGAGAGCGGTTAAATGCTGGATGAGCCACAGCTTGGGAGGGGATGTTGCCCAGTTTAAATTCTTGCTCCTGATCGATGGGGTTGTCTTTCATCTGTTGCATCTTGAATGAAAGCTTCAAAATCAGACTGTAATAGGATGCATGGATTTAGTGAGGGTGCAGAAGGAAGGGATACTTGCAAGTTGCTGCAGGTAGCATAACTCCTTATACTGTGGTTGGACTTGATGATCTTTGAGGTCTCTTCCAGCCATAACGATTCTGTTCTATGATTCTACATGCTTTTCAAGCATAGAAAATTAATTGCTAAGTATAGAACACAGCTCTTACCCACTTGACTTTAAAGGAGGCGGCGTCATCCAAGAAGGGGCGTGTGTGTGTAACCACAAGTGTCTTGTAGCCTGTTTAGTAAAACTTTCAAGACTGACTTATTAAATAACGTCATGAAACGTAGAGGTTACTTCAAGTCAGTTTGTGAACTAGTTCTTTTTAAGACCTATGCAGCAATTAGAAAGTTGCCTTACCATAATCCTATAATTACACCCTAATGGGATTCTTCTAGGTATAATTACATATCTTGAATGTGTTCATGCATTTTTATTTCCTAGGAAATCTGCCAGAGCTGACCCAACCTTTTTCTCCCGTCTCCATATAACATTTGGTTTTCTGATGTGCTACCTCTAGTAGTGGATTGCGAGAGGTAGTGGATTGCAAGAGGTAGTAGATGAAAGGCTTTAAGCCATACCTTCAGAAGTAACAGAAAGCCAGCTCCTAAGATGGAGTGAACACCGCACCCACAGCATCAAGCTTGTTGCAACTGTCTCTTTGATCATAGCAAACATAGTATCTTGTCTGAGTGGATTAGTAAAGCCAAAATTTTAATGCGATTGCAGCTCTTGGTTTCAGATTGATGTGTGAAGAAAGGAGAAGCTGCTAGAACGATGAGGGGAGAAAAGGTGTGGATAGGCTCGTTAATTTTTCCATTTTTTCTTAGGAGTTCTTTCTAAAAATAGCTGCGTGGAATGTTACATGGAGCTCAGCTATAAAGAAAATAACATATTTGAGTAATGTGTTTTATACTGAAGTTGCCTGAACGTTTCACTCCGACATTATTAATGATAAATGTTCAATCATTTGATGAAGGACTATAGCACAGAATACTATAATTCTAAATGCTCCATGTTCTTTCAGGGACTTACCACTCCTTGACTTTGCTCGACTCTTACATCTGTGATTTGCACTGTATTTATACTGAAATGATTCTTTCCTTGAGCAAATTGTAATCTAAGATGTGACATTCTCAGGTCTGCTTCATATCACTCCTGTACATAATGTTTTGCAGCAACTGGAAATTTTAGTTCAAAATGCTTAAGAATCATCTTGAAAGCTGCAGCCCAGAAGGAAGACATAACTCTATGGCTCATCAGTCTTTTTACAGAGGATTCTCAAATACGTTCTGTAACTAAGGGTGGCTCTTTTAGGTCAAGACGTTCCTGTTTAGGGTGTGAGAATACGACAATGAAATCTTGGTGGTCCCTCTTCCCCATTCTGAGTTTGCAGATTCCTACTTCCCGGCAATAAATTTATTTAGGTATTTGTTAGACACTTACTGCTTTCCAGTGATTATTATGTATTTGTGAAATGACTTAGCCCAGATTCTGGTTGGTGACATACGCAAAATGTATTGTGACTGACGTTACCTGCTAGCCTGAAGAGGTGTGGAGGCTGAGTTGCGTTCTTGTCCTTTTTTTTTTTTTTTTTCCAGAGATTGCATGCATTCATTCCATGAATGAACCTCAGAGCCCTTCAGCACTTTATAAAGAAATAAAGGAAGATCCTAATTAATCCTGGTTTTGCTTACCTTGTTAAGTATCAAATCTAGGTCATAGAGCTTGTTTATAAGCTAGTATGAGGACATACCTATGTCGATTTATAAAGAAAAAAGTGCTGAACAGTTCTGAGCTTCATTCATGAAATGAATGCATGTGAGCTCTGAAAAAGAGGACAAGGATGCAAGGCTCTGAGCTACAGATGGCTTGAAATATGGAGAGGACCTAGGGGAAATCAGCTGTGTGCACGCACTGTTTTCTCCTCAAGCATCTGATACTAGTCCCTGTTAAGAGGCATGATACAAGCCTAGGTAGTCCTTTGGAATTATGCGATATGGATAGTTTTATAAACAGCTTTAGGACTTTTTAAACTCTCTGAATATAAGCAGTCACTTACTAGAGATTAAATTTGCATAAATGTAACATGCTCCTAACTTTGGTCTTGTTCCTCCTTTTGTATATGCGGTCATTTTATGGAAATGAGCTATTAACTTATAGTTAAAGAGAATTGCCTTTTATAATACTTTATAATTAAAGATAATTTGCTGAAGTCAGACATCAAAATAATTTACATCAAAACTGTGTGCCAAAATTGATTATTGCAAAAAAAAAAAACAACCCCACAGAAGTCTGATGATATTTTTATTGAAAACAGCCTGCATCAGATAAATGAAAGCATAGTAATTTCTTTTCTGTAACAGGACTGTGGCATTGTATTTTGCTTGCTCACATCTCTGTACAACATTGTAATGGTGATATTATTTGCTTTGCAGTAGTTTGCAGAGAAGCTGAAACACGGTAGTGTACCGTTGGGCAGGACCAGTAAGGAATGAGCCAGCCTTGGGAAGGAGGACCTGCCATCCTAGCTGGAGACATCTGAAGAGAGGACAATTTAGTCTTGTGGCATGCTTCAGTAGAAATTATTCAGCAAAAGTAAGCTGTTTTGTTAATGGATATGTGTCAGCTCCTTCACAGACTGCTCAGTTGCAGTTGGAATTTGACCTGGAGTTTGAAAAGTTATTCAGTTTTGAGGTGGTTTTGTGGGAATTTACTTTTTCTTCCAATAGAGTCCTAGAAGGCCCGGGTCTTTTCATACAGTTTTTATACATCACCTCTTCTGTACTTTGTGGGTTGATGAAGGCGCTCTAGGCTGTGCACCCTAAGCTTACAAATTAAATACATGTTTTAATACTAAAAATAAAAAAACCCACAAAAGGATGATAGAGAGGTGGGATCTGGCAAGATTATGGACTAGGTCGTTCTCAGTTGGCTTTAGGCTGTATTTACATTAAAATGCAGTGTTCGGATGCTTATTGTTTCCTTATTTATACCTGAATTGAAGATCTAAATACTTAAAATTATTTTTAGATTTTGTCCTTGAGTTTGATTAATTTTTAGCCTCATTATTCAATAATGTAATTTTCCCTGTTGCTGGAAGTGACCTAAGGGAACACAGCCCTCAAAAATCCAGAGCTTTACTGCTTGATAGCAGTTCTAATATGAAGCCAGTTTTGATTAAACCTTGTTATAAAATATTACTCTTAATTTCCAGAAAAATATTCTGTGGTCAGGTTTTTTTAGTTCTTAATGCCATGAAGTTGCAATGAAAATGTTTCCATAGCCATATGTAGCATGTAGCAGAATAGCAGTCCTAGATGTTTTTCCTCCTTTCTGAAGGGTTTACCTCTTCAATAAAAATCTACATATACATCTTTGTACCAGTTTATAAACAAACTCTACGACCTAGATTTGATACTTTAAAAGGTAAACAAAAAAGGATTAATTAGGATTTTCCTTTAAAAATGAAAAGTGAGACAGTATCAGTTTATTTGATATGAATCTTCAAGTGCGTAATTGTCCTGCATTCTGAGCACATGCAACTGCAGTTGTGCTTATCTTTTAAGAGTTTGATGTTGCTGGGTAGCACTTGTTTAGAGATAGGGGTTTACTCCTCCGGCTTTATTCATCTTACACATAAGATTTTCCTCTGAGTCATTAAAAATCACATAGGAATTTCAAGATAAGGCATTTACTCCTTTCTTTTCATATACTGCATCATTGTCTTGATGTAGTAAGGAATCAAAGAACCCTCAAATTAATGGGTGACCTGTTGAGCACAGTTCAAATGTTGGCATTTTTGTGTTTTCAGCGAATAGGTGAGAACTTTCACTCTGCTTTTAGTTTACTAATAAATTAGCTCATGGTATCAGAATTTGATTTGTCAGAACGCATTGCATTTTTAATCCCAGCATTGCATTTTAATCCTCTCTAAAATCTTAATTACGATATGCGACTTGTATAGAAGTTACTTATCTACAGATTGTTTTAATCTTTTCTTTGAAAAGGATAATCTTATAAAGTGTGTTCAGAGCGAAGCAGCCTTTTGTAAAACTGTAGCGTGGAAGTAAAAAAACCTCTGCTGCTGTGCCTTTTTGCACAGTAGTATCTTATTATGGGAGCACTTGAAAATTCAGATCCTTTACCTCAGCCACAGTTAGCGCAAATTAATCAATATATGGATTTCTCTTTCAGTTATTCTGTTGTGAGATACTGGTTGGATTGTATTCGTGGTTATTCTGAAATCTCAATAGCTTTTCTTCCCACCTTTTCCTAATAAATTTCTTATTATAAACCCCTAGTTTTGGTGTAAAATTCTGTTACAAAAAATAAGCTCAAAAGTGTGAGGCTCCCACAGAGCACCTCGTTCACAACAGTGTTAGCATGGATCTCGCAAATAGGTATGTACTGTACGGTAAGAAGATAGTTACCAGGTGGTAGGTAATGCTGTGTCTCGATCTGGCATGCTGATTTAAGAACTAGTATGCAGATTTGTCTTTAATCTCAGAGAAAGAAATTCAGATATGAAATGGAAACATAGGTGGATAAAATTATGTGCTACTTGAGGAAAAAATATTTGAGCTGTAGAGCTTTAAAAGAATGATTTGATAAAAAATGGATTAGAGAGGCATTGGTCTTTCGAGAGGAAATTACAGTGATAGAAGGGAACAGACAGCATACAGAAATACATTTTTAAGTAAACAGCACTTAATACATTACTGTAGAGATAAATACAGATACTGAAGCATTTTATTTTTTTTTTTAAATCCCAGCATGTATTCATAAGATGTTTAAAGTAGTGGAGGCTTTTACAGTAACACTAGGCATTTTCTCTTGAGGTAACACATTCTGCTAGACATGTGTATAACTAGACTAGAACAGGTCGTCCAGGGAGGTTGTGGTATCTCCATCCTTGCAGGTTTCCAAAACGCTGAACTAGACAAAGCCATGGCTGATCTGATCTAGTACTGGGGGTAGTGCCATGTGGAGCAGGAGACTGGGCTACGTGACCTCTCGAGGTCCCTTTTGCGCCATGTGCCTGTGATAGTTTTGCATGAACTATTCCTAGCTGCTTGTACAACAAAGGCCAGTTTCACTGAAAGGCTTGTTTTGCTGAATAGGAGTCTCAAAGTTCCCTGGGGATTTAAATGAAAAAAGGCACCTTTTTAGGCCCCATCCCCCAAAGCCCATCTTCTCCCTCATTTGATATCTGGTGTTTGGTTTCCATTGCTAATAAATATGAACATAAAAGGAAAATTACCATGAAACAGACTGTGAAAGATTGCCATGGCAAAAATGTAATTGAGAAGGCATTTGCATATTTAGGCTAGAATTTTTCAACTACTAAAATCCTACACAATGCTGAAGTGACACAGTTTTGCGTTCCCTGCTCTCTTACAGTTGGTTACAAAATCATCTTTAATGACAGACATAAGATATGGCCAGAGAAGGTAGAGGCAACGACTTCACAAACCAATCACATCAGGGTTGTGTATCTTCTGTGATATACTGCTCCTTCTGCTGGGCTGCAGCGATTCCTTCTGAGATGCACTCAGCAATATCAGGGAGTTCACTTGACATTTAGGAAAAAGGAATCCAGGGTATCTTTTCAAAAAGCCATCTCAGTTTTCCACTGTGGTTCTTTCTGCAGCCCTGTGGTTGTTCTGAGCCCAGTTTGAGGGATGGCGTACTGTGGTGCATGGGGACTAAGAAACGGAGTGGGGGAATACTTCAGCTGAGTGCTGCTGGCAGGCACATTTTCCACTGTGGAAACCTAGTCTGAGGTACTGTTCAGGCAATCCCTTAATCAAACAGATTATCACCAGTACTGTGAAGAGAGATTGGTTTAGATTCAATGTTTGCAGCTAGATCACCTCTTGAGGAAAGAACCATGGCTTCTTGAAATTTCCTGAGGAGGCGGCAAAGTAACTGGCTGACTGGAGGTTCATTAATCAACACTACTTCAGAGGAAGAACATAGAAAATTCCAAAATTTGTTTTCTAACTTGGCGTGATAGCGTGCTGAAAATCAAACAGATGAAGATTGGTGATTAGCAAAATTAATTCTCCCAGTACTCGATTTAGTCTGTCAGCTCAGGACACAGAATGTTAACTTCTCAGTTTCTTTGAGTTGAGCTTCATAAATGTTAACTTACCTTAATTTAAGGTAAGCATCTCATTCTGTGGATGTTGAAGTCAAAGGTGATATAAGGTGCCAGTTTAGGTTGACTTAAACTGATTTAAATCTATCTTTGATTCTCTGCAGGATGGCTGGCTGTGGTGAAATAGATCATTCGATCAACATGCTTCCCACAAATAGGAAGACAAATGAGTCGTGTGCTAACGCAGCACCTTCCCTGACAGTCCCCGAATGTGCTATCTGTCTGCAAACATGTGTCCATCCAGTAAGTCTGCCTTGTAAACATGTTTTCTGCTATCTGTGTGTGAAGGGAGCTTCTTGGCTTGGGAAGCGATGTGCACTCTGCCGGCAGGAGATTCCAGAGGATTTTCTTGACAAGCCAACATTATTGTCACCAGAAGAACTCAAAGCGGCAAGCAGAGGCAATGGAGAATATGCCTGGTACTATGAAGGTAGAAATGGTTGGTGGCAGTATGATGAACGTACCAGCAGAGAGCTGGAAGATGCCTTTTCCAAGGGTAAAAAGAGCACCGAAATGCTAATCGCTGGGTTTTTATATGTAGCAGATCTTGAAAATATGGTTCAGTATAGGAGAAATGAGCACGGACGCCGCAGAAAAATAAAACGGGACATCATAGATATACCAAAGAAGGGAGTGGCTGGGCTGAGGTTGGACTGTGAGGCTAACACTGTCAACCTGGCAAGAGAGAGCTCCGCTGATGGTGCAGACAGCACACCGACCCCAGGGGCTGCGGCTGTGCAGCCTCTGGCATCCATCCCTGCGAGGCCCCTGCCGTCACTAGATGGTCAGCTGATGAGTCCTTCAACGCCATCGCCTGATGCAAGCAATTCCCTAGAGAACTCTTTTGCCCACTTGCAAATAAACGGAGACAGTATGGCTGAAAGGAGTCATAGGGGAGAGGGAGAAGAAGACCACGAATCGTCATCTTCTGGGAGGGTGCCAGCCCCCGACACCTCCGTTGAGGAGACCGAATCGGATGCTAGCAGCGATAGCGAGGATGTGTCTGCCCACCTTCAGCAACGCCCGTCGTCTGTCCAGCAGAGACACTTGAGTGCAAACGCAAGCCAGGCAGGAGCGGATAGACCAGTGGCAGGAGGCGGGGTGGTAAACTCAAGTGTAAGATCTAGAAGGCCAGATGGACAGTGCACAGTCACTGAAGTTTAAATCAAGAGCCATGCGATTAAAAACTCGGTCCTGTATCTGTAAATTTTCTGTCCACATTGGCATTGCACTCAAACCTAGCAGTGTGTTTGGTGGGAGGGTGGGGTGAAGGGGAGAAACAGATTTGGCCTGTTTAACTTAAGTCTCTTAACATGTCTCAGCTGGAAGACTCTAACTGTAGGAAACTGGGTTGTCCTGTTAATGGTTTGAAAGCTGCTTAGCAATACCCAGTTTTCTTGAAAATGTCTTGTGTTTATTTTGTAGCATTTTCCCCTTGGAAATACTCGATCCCTTTTTGGCCAATGTATATCTACTGTACAACTTGAATTGTCTTCATTATCTGACTGTTGCATTAAGTGTCTTACTACTTTCTGCATGGATTGATGTATGAAAAGAACACTAAAGCAATGTGGGAGCAGGCAAGATGTTGGGTGTGAGCAGGGTGCTTAATTTAATGTGAGAAAATAGATGTGAGTTTGGAGTTAAAAGTGTGTTTTTACTAGACAAGAGCAATCATTTACCTTCCTTCAATGGAAATGTAAAAATGCTGTTAACTTTTGTTGCAAATTCTTACCTATAAACTCTTCATGGCATTTTCACTAGCTTTGCCATCTAGTCCTTGTAGTTTTGTTTTTGAGGTCTTTCTTGATCTGTCTTGTTTTTGTTACGGAATTTATAATTTAATAAAACTACATTTTATCAGTAACAATTGTAGGTATGTCTCCAGTTTAATTGAACTTCAATGGAGGAACTTTAAAGAAAACTTACCATAAAACAGCTTCCTGTGTTTGCCAAAAGGGAGGACTGACATCTTGAAGTTCTTGCATCCCTGACTGGCTGTCTCTCAAACACAAACACTGTAGGAGTATGTCTGTCTATGGAAAAATTGTGAGTTGCAGGTTTAACACTCGGAGGGGCTTAACACTCGGTTCTCATCTAAAAAGCTGATTAACTCGCTTCACTGTTACGGCGGGCAGAGGTATCACACACAGCCTTATTTTAACAGCAGAAACGTTGAATTGAAAAAAAGCGTAAGTTACCAAACCTGACCCTATAGCAGAGAACGCTGATGTTACAGACTATATTGCTGTTTATCTGTTCTTCATAGCAAAACTAGTGGCAGTGCAGCAAAGGTAGTTTTGTGCTTGTATTAGAAATGCATCTCCTAGACTGCTACAAACTGACTTCTGTGTATTAGAAAAGGTTAGGAGCCAGGTCTGGAAAAGCACAGCTTGTCTTTTCTGTCTATGGCAGTGTCTGTGGCAGTTGTTTCACATTTTTTTCAAATTGAGAAACAGCATTAGTTAATTCTGGACTCAGTCTTTAAAATACAGCTGATTAAACTTCAATTCTTAGTACGGTTATCCCTGAATAGAACGAGGCGGTAGCTGATACACAGGTACTATGCGTCTTCAGACAAAAGTTGCTGTGGGCAACCAACCACTTGAAGGGAATTAAAAGGGTTAATCTTTTTAAATGGCAGATCTAAATTTCTAAAATGTTCCCTTTACTGTAGTGATGGCTGACCTGTCTGATCTTGGGCAAAGCTGTGCCAGCCCTTCACTTTGTTTCCTCTGCCCACCGGTGAGATCACTGGGTCAGTGAACAAAAGAAAGTGCAGAGGAGACTAGCATGCAACAAGGAAGAGTTTTTTTTCTTTCTCAGTTAGGAATGGATTGTCTTGATCACAGGTTTTTTACAATCACCTTCCAGTTCTGTAAGGAAATAAGCCAGTAATATGGACTTAAGAAGGAAAGAGGATGGAATGGGGTTTTCTTCTATTTGTTAGTTGCCAGCTGTCTTATTTCTCTAAGTTAGCACACCGTGCCTCTCATCGAAGTCTGACACTGTACTGCAAAAAGCTGCAGTAAGAACACTCCTGCTATATGCAAACATTTTACTTCGCATGAGGGTATGTACTATTGAAGAAAGCAAGAAGCAAAATACAAGAACTTGACTTGCTATCTGCTTAATTTCAGTATTTTCAGCCCAGTCTACGAATAATTTTATCAGTGATTATCCCTGGGGGTTCTTGACCAAAGTACAGAGGCAGACTTCTGTTCAGCCAAACACCCATGATGCTGCTGTTGGCTCCTGCTGACTGACTGCAACTGTGAAGTACTAAAATTAGTTAAAGTAAGGCTGGTGAGAGCTTAATAGCCAATCATCAGCAGCAAATGTGCTCCCCAGATCAAACTTGGAAAAAATATTAACAGGTAATTCCCATCTTGTATTTAAACCATTACCTTCAGTAGGAGATACGTTCTCTGTCAGTTTTAGGTAAGCCACAGCCATGCTGGATCATGTGGTTTTCTGTAACTCCATACATTAAGTGATTTCTCAACTTGGGCAGCTAGAGAAATGCGCAGTGGAGCAGAATGGAAAGGAAAAAGGAAATTAAAATACTATAAAATCTACTGCATCTCTTCATTTCCATGAGAACAGAGACCACAGATAGAGGAATCTTATGTCACAGTAAAAAAAAAAAAATAAAATCACATAGTGAACCAAGCATTCAGCAAGAACACCTAGCTTACCTAGACTGCCCATGTGGTAAGTACATTTGTGAAAGCAGCGAATACGAAAAAGTATCTATATTGTTAAAAGTGATCTCCAGTATACAACCTTTAAACGGTCGGTGCAGAATCCACACCCCCATTAAGGACTCGGTACACAGAGTGCAAGTGTCCCAGTACACAGAGGCAAGGGAACAGAACAGGCATTTCACAGTGTAATGGGAAACCTAGTTTGCTGAGGAGGGAACTGGCAAACCAGCCCCATGGAAATAAAAAAGCTAGCACACTATTTAATTAGGAGTCTGGGAGTATCAATTTTGAGGTTTCTAATTTATTTTGTGCATTTAGTGCTTGTTTGGTTTTAGGCCGTTTCTGAAGGGGAACAAAACCAGAGATGAAGCTTGTAGTCTTTAACAATTGTAAAGAAAATACAAATGCTTATCAGGTGCTGGTTACAGGTGTTTGTCACTTTAAGATGATAAGCAAGTATTGTATGAAATTAAGCATTTAGGTCTGAAATTGGTAAAATGGGATTCCATTTCATCTCACTCAGTCTGGAGCTCTAGTGCCAGCATTCATGGTAATTTTGTAGGCTGGTTTTAATATGAAGGACTGTACTTGCTTTTAAAATGGAAAAAAAAAACAGAGAATAGAGCATTAGACTGCTCACAAAGTCCTCGATCAAAACAAACACCTGGAATTACCTTCAGAATCTCCTGTAGCTATGTTTGGTATACTTGTGATTCCAACAGACCAGAGGACAAAATGAGTTTCTATAACCTTTTCTGAAAGTGTCTTACTCAGTTAATTATGTGTCCTGTTCTTAGAAGCAAACGTTGGCCTTTGATGATACAATCGGAGAGGATGGCTGGGGAAATAAATTTGCTGAAAAGAGAAGTCAGCTCATTGCTACAAATCAAAATGGAAAGAGGTCTCCAATGGATGTTCATACCAAGTTTTGCTTACTGGCAGCACAGGTCTAGTTCAAAACGTGCAAGCAAAACAGATTCTGCTTTTCTGCTACAATTTCCTCCCTTTCAAATTTGTATCACCCAGTGCACAGAATACGCTAATGAGCTTTACAGCCTGGCACCTGAAAAATCAAAAATGATTCAAGGGTCTTGTTCACGTTCTAAGCAATTTTCACACCCATTTTAAAAACATCATCAAAGTATTCATAATGTCAAATTTATTCTTGTTACTAGCAAAGATACAACCAGTTAAAGCACAATTTTTTTGACTCACAACAATGTGATGTGCTGTTGCTTCAGAAAGTTGGATGAGAATAGACTGGAGCATGCCCTGAAGGTTCAGTGATGTTGGCAGTCTGGAATTCCTCATGAGTCTTGAGGAACGTCATGAAAAGCCGAACAGGCTCATTACTAAACAGTCAAGTGCTGCCTCACTATATTAAAACATCCACACTTCAGAAGTCATGGGTTTGAAGTCCTTTAGAGCGCAGGAAAGAATCCAGCTGCACAGAGGACTAACAACTGAGCTATTGGGGCAGGGGGGAAAAGAGGCACAAACCAGATGACTACTCTCTCCCCATGTTCCCATTCCTGTTTCTTCTCTAACCTGGAAGTAAAAATTGAACTTTATTTTTGGGGAAGAGAGATCTGAAATCTTCCTCCAGCAGCAGCTTCAGGTGTGAAGGCAAACAGGCAGGACCAAAAGGGCAGAGTACGTTCCTTATCCTCCCTGAGGTGCCCACTCAAAACACATCCCTTTCTTCAGCATTTCTTTTGGTTGCTTCAGGCTATACACATTTCCCGCTGTGAAAGCCATATAGTAAAACATCCCCAGCAGAGCACAGTGTCTGCTAAAAAGCTGCAAAATCTTAAGAGGCAATCCAGGCCTAATTCCCATCATTGATCTGTCCCAAGATCCTCAAACATACTTACAGTTACCTCGCTGTCTAAAACTCAGGAATCCTGTCACACTGTAGAAATTGTAACATGGATTTCCATCCAAGGAATCGCCTCCTTTCCCTAAGGGAGCTTGTTCCATGTGTCTAGAGTTAGTTCTGCCTGGTCAGAGCGAGACTGCATGTCAATGCCACGTAGCCCAAAGTTTCCTCCTTGACATGCTCCCCTGGAGTACTGAGGTCCTGGGCTCTGACCTCAGTCCCTGCTGGATTTAGAGACAAGTGCATCCTAACCAACAGTACAGGAAACTCCCGGTCATGGATATGTCTGCATGCTTTTGCTCTCACAGATGTTTCATTTTAAGAATCATCTGCCAAAGCAGAGACTTGGTGTCAGTTTCTAATTTCTAAAAGGAAACCCCTCCCACTGAGTTATCTAATTACTTGCAGAGTCACCAGCATGAAGTGGAGACCGAGTTCCAAATCTGGTCAGCCCAAATATGCCCTACCAGTAAAAATACTCAGAAGAAAGACGTAGACAGATCCACGCACAAGTCTTTCCAGAATGCTGAAGTACTCGGACCACTGAGTCAGGCAAGGACATCCCATTGGGGGCATGATATATCACAGCCTTCCAAGGTTTCAACTAGATTCTATGCAAAGAATCAGGTCAGCAGCTTTACATGTGCTCAGCTGCGCAAGTCCAGGCTACAGGGAGGTGCAGATGCATATGTAGGTTGGTTCCTCGAGCAGCGAGAAGCCAAATGCATTTAAAGAACTGAATCAGTGTCAGTGAATGAGGGCTGTAAGCCCCTCGGTAAGTTAGAGCTTCTCCTGTAAATATCACCATTAAAATTGAAGTATCCTTGGATACTTTCTCAGCACTTATACAAAGAAGTGATTGAAGATGAAAAAATAACAAATATCATCTCACCAGTTATCATCCCTTCAAAGCTGCTTAAAGACACTGGTCGCATGTTTGGGAACTCGTATTTTGCAGCTTTAGATGCACCTGTTCTGTAAATAAATAAACCTCATATCTTTCAAGCAATTCATTTCTATACCAGTTAGAAAAACAAAATTAACTCCAAAGAAAACAATCTTCAGCCTCATTCCAAAAGAATTATAGTTCCATTCTCAGCACAGTGTTTACCTTTACATACTAATTTCACTAATCTCCATTCAGTGGGTGATTAGGACAGTAAAGAATCTGCCAGGGATTTCTCTGTGGTTACACACCAAATATGTCTGCCTGACGTGAATGACAGGAATGTTAATGCCAGTTTAAATGAACAAGTCCTTTAATGATTCAGTTTAATGCCTGCTT